AACATGGATAACTCACACAAACAGCCTCTGACATACAATGAATGCTCTAGAGAAATGATCCTTTAATAAAACTTGATGAAAATGCTCACACACTACAGGTGGGAATGTCCATTGGTACATCTACAATCACTTTGAAAATGATTTTGTGGTATCAAAGCTGAACCTATGCACAGATTGTGACCCAACAACTCCATTCCTAGGTATATGCTTCTAAATATTCCTCTGGGTGCATAGTAATAGTTATCAATGTACAACAAACCTATATGTGGAAAGACACAGTTTAACAGAGGAACACGCTATACTCATTGGACAGCTTGTGATTAAAGTGGGCAGTGCTCTTATTCCATCCTTTACAGCAGCAGCTAACATTACTTACGTTGATTAAGAAACCTCAAGGCTTACACTACTTATCATTGCATTGCAGCCCTGAGACTGTTTAAGAACAAACGAGTGGCTAGTGATGGTGTATCAACACGCTTAGCTCGCCCACTGCAGACGGTCTAAGTGGGTTTCAACACTGCACTCCCCAACTGTTCTTCTTCAGTTTTCGCATTGGCTCTTTTGTCATCTGATCCCTCCTCCAACTCCTGCTAGAGTAACAGCGTTGTGCAAGAAAAGTTTAACTTTCCCCCAAAACATGCTAAACGATATATTGGATTAGAGGAAAGAATATTGGATTGAGACTGAGAACAGACTAAATTGAGGCCATGTGCATTTGAAGAGCCCTCATTTGTCCCCCAAAGTCCTTCACTAATTTTCCAGTAAAATTTACTTACCAGCAAGCTCCTTAATTCTGCTCTTATTTCAATTCCAGGAGTCTAGGTGCTGTGAGTGGAGCTGGGGTTATGACATTTTGAGTATAAAAAGATATCTTTTAGTCTGACAACATTAACTAGTCACTTTGGGATGGGGTTAAGATAAAGACATGCTTGGCAGATGTAAGATGATCAGAGGATGCTGTTTCCTCCTTTTATTCAGGCCTATTGGTGATGGTGGCGGGGGTGGGTGCAGAAAATCTTCTCTCTTGGACTCTTACATTCCCCATAAAGTGAGTCTGAAATTAGCCTACTGCCCAGTATTACACACTTTCTCTCAAATGTCACCATACTAGGTATTTTAGCTAAGAATATTCACAAAAAAACCTTCAGCATCATCACAGAAGGAATTGACCAGAACAGGAATAAGGACAAAATGCCTGGGTGTGTATGAATGAAAACACCTGAAGATGTTGTGGTAATCCAAAAAATTACATGCAGAATTCTGAATAAAACCTGCATAGTTGGATTAACCGCGGTGTTGTGATACAGAATCCTAAGCTGTCTCCAAACAAGCTCAGAAAGAAAAACAAAAGATCCAATTGTTGAGGCTGCCATTTCGGATGAGGCTACATGGAAGAGAGCTTGGCTCTAGCCACAGAAAATTTGCTATGAAGGAAGCCCCCTACCTCGCAGACCCATTCATCTTTCAGTAGCTTTTCTGGAGTCCTCAAAGGGCTCTGCCCAAAGCCTTTACTCAGGTTAACAGGAGAACTGTCAGAGGTCATCAGAGAATTCACTCAAAGGAGTGACTGAACCATATTTTCTTCAGATTATTATGGGATGGCATTTTTGCCCTTAGTTACCCTGAAGCCAAGCAAGAACACAGGGTCCCTTAGTTTTCACAAGGGATTCTGGTCCTGGACTTGATGCATACCAGTACCTAGGCATGTACAAATCCTTTGTGTGAAAGGTAAGCTATATACATGCTTATGTATAGTTTAACCATCTATGTTACTTACAATACCCTATGCAATGTAAATAACATGTAAATAGTGTTACTGCATCATTTAGAGAATAATGCCAAGAAAAAAAATCTATATATGCTTAGTAGAGACACAGTATTGTCACTATATTTCATCCCTGCTTGGTTGAATCTGTGGATGAGGAATCCACAGATGTAGAAGGCTCACTATATATGTTTTAAATTATTTCTCTAAAGCTTCTTGCATCTAATAGGGTTAAGTTTCCTAAGTTATGACACAAATACAGTCTCTTATATTTTAGACTGTTTCTCCCTGATATATGTGAGTTATATGTGACAGTCAAGATTGCCTCTAATTCAACAAAGAAATAATGACTACTTGAGAAAATTACTTTTGGGCACTGGAGTTAATCACAGCTAGTACATTTTCTTTTAAATATTTTATTTTTTATTTATTTGCATTTTATGTGTATGAGTGGATTGCCTGTATGGAGGTAAGTGATCTCTTGTTGTGCAATGCCTGCAGAGGTCAGAAGAGAGTGTTAGATTCCCCTGGAACTGGTGTTACAGACAATTGTTAGCCACCATGTGGGTGCTGGGAATCGAACCCAAGTCTTCTGCAAGAGCAACCAGTGCTCTCTTAACTGCTGAGCCATCTCTCCAGCCCCAGTCAGTATATTTTCTAATTATTGACTTAATTTAGGATTTGAATAAGAAAAATTCCAGGTTACCGGTTGTCGGATTGCTCTCCGACATTTGATTCATGTGTTGTAACAGGTTACCAAGTCTTGTGCAGTCTCAAGGGTAATCCACAAATTCTCCACAATATCTCAGAACGAAATTAACTAATCATCTTGAGAACAATTAGAGAACCAGGAACAACTCAAGAGTACCAGAGCCTACTCTAAGGGTTTTGTATATCTTGAGTCGTTTATTGAAGCCTCTAAATGTCTCTAGGAGGTTAACAGCTATTCTTACTTAGTTTTACAAAAGAGGAAACTAAGAAAAAGATTGGGGGACTTAAACAACAGTACGTAGTTGAAAATAGAAGTCCTTGGTTTTGACTGCAGCCGGTCCACCTCACAGCACATGCTTATTGCTTTCCCAGACATCCCTCTGCACAGTGGTGCATCTTCAGCCTGCCTGCTCCTGGGTAGTGCTGGATATAGGAAGAATGCCCGACTGGTCCATACCAGATGTCTTCCGCTGGATGCTTCCTGGAGCAGCTCCTAGATCGCAGGAGTGTTGTGGCTCACCACACTACTTTGATCTCCTTGCTTATTTATGTTTTAAAATGTAACAGCTTTATTGAGATAGAATTTATACAATATACAATTCACCCATTTGAAATGTACAATTCAATGGTTTTTACATCGTCATAGAGTTGTACGGCCATCACCACCACCAGTCTTAGGACATTTCTAATCACCCAGAAAAGACACCCTGTTCCCATTCCCAGTGGCTCCCTAATATCCCCTCCCCATAACTTCTGACAAGTAGAGCTGCACTTTCTGCCTCTATAGGTTTTCCTATATGATATAAGTAGAATTGTACAATGTATGACCTTCTGTGTCTGGCTTCTTAGCATGATGTTTTTAAGCTTCATCCGCATCGTAGCACATTTTATTCACACGTATGCCACATGATGGGCATGTTTTCACTTTAGGCTGTTATGAAAGTGCTGCTATGACCATTTGTGAACAAGTTTCTGTGTCGGCATGCTTTAATTTCTCCTAGGTATAGACGTAGGGGAGTTTCTGTGTCGGCATGCTTTAATTTCTCCTAGGTATAGACGTAGGGGAGTTTCTGTGTCTCTGTTGAACATTGTAAGGTCTCACTACACTGTTTTGTTCTGTGCTTACTTTTTAAATGGTATACTTTATTTTTATTTATGTATGTGTGTATATGCCTCTGTGGGTTTATGTGTACTGTATGTGCAGGTGCCTGAGGGGGGCAGAAGAGGGCGCTGGATCCCTTGGAGCTGGAGTTAACAGGCTGTTGTGAGTTGCCCATGTGGGTGCCGGGACCCACGCCTGTGTCTTCTGCACAAGCAGCAAGCGTTTTAAACCTCTGCGCCATCTCTCTAGTCCCCACTCTTTGCTTATTGGTAGTAAGAAGTTTCCAGCTGATGATTTTTTTCAAAAGTGGCCTTGCTTCTCAACAGAAGCACCTTGTCTTTGGACAGCAGAGTTGTCTTCAATAATAGTCAACATCTGTCTGAGTATGCACAGCTACTTTCATTAACAGAAACCAAATGTAAAGCTTGGAGTCACTTTGAGTTAGTGTCCCTTTCTTTCTTAAGTCTTTAGTGAATGAAGATATGAAATAAATAAACGATCATAGCAATGACAGCCATTAATAAAACTGTAGATGTTCCAAGCAATCTATGAAGCATATACTATTCAATTTTGGAACCCCCAAGATGTTTTGGAATTTTTCTAGATTTATTCTAGAATTCTAGAGGGTAAGATTTTTAAAAATCATAAGAATGATAGCCATAATTTTATCTGTCTTGATGACCAGGCAGAGATGAAACAAAAAAAGTGAACTCTTCTATTGGGAAACTGCTTGGAAGGGACTGAGATGAGTCAAAGATGCTCCCAGTGGAGGAAGCAGGAAGCAGGAAGTAGAAAGAATGACTGTGATTCATCCTGGGTCTCTGGACTCATGATGCTATCACATGGTTTACATTTTCTACAAGTACATATAATTTGTTGCCAAATAAAGCATGAGAAAGATTAGTAAATATTAATGGAAAAGAGAAATGAGGAACTATTCTAATATAACATTTTTACTGGCTTTTGTTAAAAAGTTTTCCTGTTGCAGAGTGCCCATCTGCTGCCTAGCATGAAAATTTTTGAATGCCTGTCGATCAGCCCTCTTCAGAGACCAATGAGAAGACACAGAGTATGGAAAACAAAGCAAAAACCAGACCTGGTGTTGTATTTTGTTTGTGACGTCTTTAAAGCATAAATGGGTACGTTTATATTTATCAAAATAAGTGATGGTCATTGCTTTTTAATGCTGCTGCTACTACTACTACTACTACTACTACTGCTACTAATTTGTGTGGTAATGGCAGTTCCTAATGAAAGTATTATAATGTGTGTATGAGGAAACACATAGTCTTCCTCCCAGAAATAGAAACCAAACTGTTTAATTTGCTTTAGTATATAGTACATAAGAAAAAAAACAATGTTTGACTAAAGAGTGTATTATATTGATTCTGATTTTGTGTCATGTTGGCCTAATTTCTCACTTGGATTAAAATTCTGAGTACATAATTAGGACAATAATGGAAGCATTATTTTTTCAGTGAACCTAAATCACCCTTAGAACTGAGGGCTGGGAGAAGCCTCCTCTGCATTCTCCTGCTCAGACCGTAACCCAGTTATCAGCTGCTCACAGTCATTCTCGTTCCTCAGGAAAGAATAGATCTTTCTGTTTAGCAGCCAACCCAGGAACTGGATTTCACCACGCTCACCACATCTTCCTTCTCCATGTCATACTTGAATGTTTTTGGTCCTGAGAAGAAGTAAATGTAGCCTAAAAGAGACAACGTTGACATTGTGGTTACTGGGAATGGCTTGTGGGTCTGTAAGCAGGAGGATCAGCAACTGCAGCTTCCTTGGGGAACTAGGAATTTGCCAGATGGCAGTGAGCTGACCTCTGAGGAGCTCTACCATGCCCTGGAACCCGACACTCCTCACATTGTTCGCTTTCTTTCTCTCTGCTTCAGCCAGGGTAAGGTCTTCACCTTGGGGTCATCCAGCTAACCACCCTCAGTTATGCTTTGTGTTTTCGCTTAGGCTGTTCCCTTCAAAGAAGCCCTCTCTTCTTCTCTTATCCCTGTCAAACTGCTACCCAATCTTCAAAACCAGCCAATGTTTCACTATGAACTGGCCAACGGCCAAGTCTGACCTTTGCTTTCTCAGATCACTTCTTGCAATCATCATTGTGAAGCCTCGTAACACTACTCAGTCCAATCACAGACTGTCTTGTCCTTCGGTAATTTCATTTGTGTTCGATGGGTAGGCATTTCCCAAAGATGTGCAACATTTCATGAGGGCAGAGGATGGAATTACATTTATTTGATATGTATGTAATACCCAGTTCATTCAACTTTTCTATCTATGTGCTAAATTTCAGGAGTTGGGTGATAGAGGGGTAAAAGATACTGAGAAGATTGAATCTATGACTACTGGATGGAAGTTACACCATAGGGTTTTTGTTGTTTGTTGTTTTTAAATATTTTATTTAGTATTTTTATTTTATGTGTATGAGTGTATTGCCTGCATTGTAAGTACACCCATGCTGTGCATTTCCCGTAGAGGTCAGAAGAAGGCATTGGATCCCCTGGAACTGGAGTTAGGATGGTTATTAGCTGTCATGTTCTTGCTGGGAACCAAACCCAAGTCCTCTGAAAGAGTGCCCAATGCTCTTAACCACTGAGTCATCTCTCCAGCCACATGTATCTTGAGCCAAGGTCTCACTATGTAGCCCAGGCTGATGTCAAACTCTTTTTCCATGTGCCTCAGCCTCTTGGTATTGCAGGCTGAAGTTGGACTTTTTTTTTTTTCTTTAGCAAAGGGTCTCATGCATTCCAGATTGATCTTGGATTTGCTATATGGTTGAGTATGACTTTGAAGTTCCTCCTCCAAGGTCTAGGATTACAAGCCACCACACCCAGTTTATGTAGTGCTGGAGACTGAACCCAGGGCCTCATGCATGCTGTAGACAAGCTGAGCTACATCCCTGGCCTGAAGCTATATTTTTTAAAAGCCATCTGTTAGTAGAGGGAGTAAAGGGAGAATCATAATAGCGCATCTTTTATCATTCCTTTTTCTAGTAGGAAATCTGGTTCATTAAACTTCTAAAAGGGCCTAGGACCAAAAATAAGAACCAGTGATTCCCATCCAAAACCTACTTTCTGTTGCGTTAAAGCAGAGCCCAGATTTCCTGTTATAATTTCCCAAAAGTTTCAAGCGGGGACACTCACCATTTAATTCTACAGCAGCATCTATTTGGCCACTCACTCCGGAGAATTCTTCTTCGGTGTTTTTTGGGTAGTCTTTTTCCATTTTCCTTTTTCTCTCATCATAGCTGGAAAGAAATATTATGTCATAAATAAGTCTTTCTTGGCTATAGGTGATATTGAGCTGGTCAGGCTTATTTGGCCATGTCCAATTTATAACTTATTCTAGATGTCTCTCTTTAGCTCTGTCTCTCTTGAAGTAATAAATCAACGTGTGATCACTAAATTAGAGCCAAGAAAAACTGTAATAATTGATCCTTTAGGAAATAACTTTTATTGAATGTTTTTTGACAATTTCATACATGAACACAGGGCATTCTGACTACTGCAGCCCTGCATCCTCTCCCATCTCCCTCCCTAATGTGTTACCCCTCCTTGCTCAACTATTGACTACTGATAGATTCTGGGCGGGGGCAGTCACTGTCTTCACTTGTGTCCCCACTGAGAAGCCTACCAGTCTCCACCAGACAGTTTCAAACCCAAGGCCACATAGATGATCCTTTGTCTTTTAAATCAGTCTAACTGCATCCCATCCCTCCTGTTTCCTGGAAAGATCATACGACCAAACAGTAGATTAAGATTCTAGTTCTTAATCAACCACCACCCACTGATAGTTCTGAAGACCCCTTAATGCACCTCTGTGATCTAAGTCACACTTGTAGAAAGACCGTGACTTGTGTGAGTCTGGGGACTGTATGAACTCAGCCTCAGGTGGAGATGACTATCACCTCTTCAAGTGATACTCCATCTACAGTATGAGAAAGTCCCTTCATGAGTGCAAAGCTCCGACTAGGGACATTCCCAGGTACACACCTCACCAAAAGGCCAGACAATTTCCCCCCAGGGCTACTGGGTAGTTTTCTGTGGCAGCAGATCACGCCTACCATCCCCTGAAATGTGCCTCTGACTACATGGGACAGGGGGAAAGTAGCCCTTGAGATCTGAGCGGGAATCAAACTTTGACAAAGAAGTATGCAGTCTTAAGTGACTGGGGTTTGGGTTGATTTAGCAAGGTGTTAGGGGCAAGGAGAGAAGCTAATTCTCCAACATGTCAACAGATTGACTGTGACATATTAATATTTCGCTGAGACCTTTTCTTAAAAAATATTTTATTTATTATTATTTTTATTTTATGTGTACAAGTGTATTGCCTGCATGTATGTGAGTACACCTTGTCATGCACTGCCATGGAGGTCAGAAGAGGGCTTCAGATTCCCCTGGAACTGGAGTTAAGGACGGTTCATAGCCGCCATGTGGGTGTTGGGAATCAAACCAGGGTCCTCTGCAAGAGGAGTCAGTGCTCTTAACTGCTGAGCCAACTCTCCAGCCCTTCATTGAGACCTTTTATATAGACATCATAGCATCTAAGGTCTGTGGCACTAACACAAAGTTATCTACTTTGAATTTTACCAAGTAAGAGCATTACCATCAAATATTCATTATCATTTCACAAGGAAAGACGCTATCACACACACAAAAAGCAGAGAGCATATAAACTAAGAATAAAACAGCCCTTGCCAACAATCCTCGCAGTACTGTCACAGAATGCTCCCATTTATAACACACTGCTGCTCTTATTTTGCTGTGAGCTACTGAAAACTTGTGACAGTCTAGCCCTTTGTGGATGGCAAGTTGGAGATTTTGGTGACAGAGCAAAGAGCTTCACACTTCCGGTCAGACGGCTCTGGTTTGTCCTCTGACGTTTATCTGCTGGCTGTGTGAGCAAGGAAACCTGACAGTGTGCTCTGAGCATATTATCTGCATATCTGAGTCCTCCTCTGGGAAACGGTGACCATGAGGGTGAGACAGTTCACAGGCATGCACGCCCACATTACCGCCTACCCATCTGTCTCATGTGGTGCCCAGGACAAGTCCTAGCCATTGACTTTGTCATTTTTTTGATCCCAAGGCCCATTAACTCTAGCTTCTTAGTATGAGGTTGAGTGAACTTTGAGATTAGACCTGGGATCCTAAGTCATCAATGAGTTTAATTTCTAATTTCTCTTTTGTCTTACCCTCTGTTTAGTCTTCAGTCTTTATACCTGTCAGCAGATCACATTTTTCAGTGGTAGGCAAGGTTGACAGGAGGTGGACAGAGGAACCTGGGATGCAGTGGCCGTAGGTGGTCCAGAAAACCAGACCAGGGAAGGATTAAGACAGATAACCATTGCTGTGCTGTGGACTTTGCCCAAAGAATTAAAGAAGAATGAATTATATGGAAGAGAAGAAAGGCAAGGGGAACTGAGGAGTAAGGTGACCTTTTCAGTGCATTCGGGAGGGACAAAAAGGGAGAAACCTGGGATTCCCGACGGAAATTAATAAACAAAGTCCACTTCTAATCGGGAGCCACATGGCTTTCGTGGAGGAAGTGTCCTTTCTGCTCGCCCTGAGGAAGGGCAGGCTGCTGTGGGGGGTAGCGATGGTGAATGAAAAGGATAGAAAGGAGTTTCCACGTGTGATCCCAGATGAGGGCTAGAAAACAAGGCCCTTTGTGGAGAAGGACTATGAGAAGATTCTGGAATAAAGGATTTGTAATAACATGGAAACATATGGACACTATAGCACTAGGTGAAAATATGTCACAATACAAACTTATAATCTTAAATATTTAAAAATGAGGAGCTGGAGAGATGGCTCAGCGAATAAGAACACTGTTTTTGCAAAAGACCCGGGTTCAAATCCCAGCACCCATATGGCAGCTAACAATTGTCCATAACTCCAGTTCCAGGGGATCCAACAGTCTCTTCTGTCCTCCACAGGCACTGCATGACACGGGTGCACTTATCTACATGCAGGCAATACATGCATACACATAAAATAAAAATAATAAATATTAAAAAAATGAGGACTCCCTCCAAAAAACACCCCCAAAACAAAAAAGAAAACAATATTAAATGGCTATCAAAAGATGCTGCAGAATGGGCTGTGGCTCAGTTGGTAGAGTGTTTTCATAGGATGCATGAAACCGTGGGTTAATCCCCAGCACGGATTAATTGGGCATGGTAGTGCACGCTGTAACCCTAGTATTTGGGAGGTGGAGTTAGGCATATCAGGCATTAAAGGTCCTTGGCTATATAGCAAGTTGTGAGAGACTCTGTCTCAAAACAAACAAACAAAATTACAAGTGTCTAGTATTGTTGGCATGCACTCTGGTACATTCCTATAATCCCAGTGCTCAGGAAGCTGAGGCAGGTATTCTAGGCCAACCTAGGCTACATAGTGAGGACCTATTTAAAACAAAAGAAGCAAGTGTTGGCAATTTTATAAATTTCTTTCCCAAACCTACCTTCCCTCCCTCCGTCCCGCCCTCCTTCCTTCTTTCCTTCCTTCCTTCCTTCCTTCCTTCCTTCCTTCCTTCCTTCCTTCCTTCCTTCCTTCCTCCCTCCCTCCCT